CGTTGCTTTTCCAAGGGAGGCCAACAGGAATGAGAGACGTACAAAAGCATCAGGTTTGTTTCTCTGTCAATTTTAAGTGCTCAGTGTAAAGGATCATTAAAGCCTGACGTGTGCTGTTCAGAAGCCAGCACTGGGGAGGAGCAGGCAAGCCACAGGAGCAGCCCTGCTCGCCCGGACCAGCACAGGCTTGTCAGAGCCACTGTCTGCCTTCTTCCCTCAGCAGCCAAATCCCATAGGAGTTTGCACGCAGCAGTGAGCCAGGAGAAGGGGCCACAATTGAGCACACACACATCAATGTGCCACCAGCTGCCTGTGCTGCCACGGGACATCCCTGGGTATCATGGAACAGGCTGCCAGGAGGGCTGTGGTACCCTGGCATGTCCCCAGGGGAAATGATGCTGTCCTGGGTGTGGGGGGGTACTTTGGAGAATGCTGGCATTTTGAACAGACTCCACTGTGTGTGATGATTTACTGCACTGTGCCTCAGTGGTGGCTGACTCACCAAGGTCCCCTTGTTGGGGACATCCGTGTTCAGGCACCCTAACTGCACACAGGCCAGCACGTCCTGCCCTCACAGGGCTCTTTGCAGAAGCCTTGCAGCTGGTTTTGCAGTTGGTTTGGTTTCATGAGAGCCAGGCAGGATTGCCCAGCTGGCTGTGCTGGAGCTGTGACGGCTGAGCAGGTCGGCACCCGTGCCAGGACACCGTGTGCTCCTTTGTAGTCCATCCCAGCCATACAGTCATCCCAAACAGCCCGGTTTGGTGGGTACTTTAGGAAGGGGTGTTGTGCTTAGGGCAAGTACAACCAAATGCTGCTTCCCAACAGCAATTTGTGGCGTAAGAAATATGATATTTCCCTTCCACCTCCTTTAATTCATTGATCAAAGAGATCCTTCATCAATAGCTTGAATTTACAGGATGTTTGCAGACTTTTCCTTCTAGGAGGTTTAAGACTTTGCTCACAGATATGCTCATGTGGGTTTTGTCTTTGGTCACCCTGGGACCGCCAGGACAAGCTGCAGTCCTCCCTTTACTTAGCAGGGCCAGTGTAGGTTTGTAAACTGTCAAAGTTAAACTGGAAACATACCCCAAACCTAAGAAGACCACAGAACACAAAGGCATTTGTAAACTAATGTAATTACTTTCCTCAGTGCCTTTGAATAAAGTTGGCTCCAGTTTAAAGGCTTTTTCCTACCCTGTTTTTACATTATGTTTTTTCCTTTCTCCTGGTTTATTTCTTTTTTAATTTCTACCTCCCTCTCTTCACCTCCTCCCTTTTAGCATCAAATAGCTGTTAATTTCCAAAACGTATATCAGTTTTTGTTAGCAAAACTTGGTGTTTGGACATTTTCCTTTTGAAGGTGAGAGTAACACCTTGAGAACCGGCTGTTCCAGGTTCTGGTAGCACGGAGCCTGTCCGAGTGGGACCTCCCTGGAGCAGGATGGAGCCTTGCCCATCCCTCCAGTATCCCATGGCTCCTAGCACCCACAGCTGTCCCTTGTCCTGTGCCCATGGCACCCCATCCCCATGGCTTCTGCGACCTTGTGATGTTGTCTCAAACCCTATTTTAACTCAGCGTGATGTTTTCCAGTCTCCTTTGGGATTTCTCTCGTCCAGATGTGAGCAGAAGTCAGAGGGAAGTGGGACAAGAGGGGAAACTGAGGATGAAGCCTAGTCCAGCCCCACAAGGGGCTCCTGTGTGTTAATGATGCTTGTTGGGATAATCACGGGCAGAGCAGATCTGTTGTGAGGGGAAATACAAGGATGCAGAGCTGCTGTGTTGTACAGCAGAAGCATTTAATAATAAAACAGTTACAGATACTGCACTGTTTAAAGAAGAAATGTTATCTCTCCGGGGTCATTGCCCACACTGTTATCCTTATCTGGGTGCAACTCCTTTTGCAGAGCCTGTAAGGGCAGTGAGGAGCCATCAGCAGCAGGCACGTGGGGGGTCTGGCCCTGGCACTGCAGAGCTCACCAGCTACAAGGCTTGTGCGTGCTGCAACACAGAGCTGGATGGAGGAGGAGTTACTTCAGCATAAAACAGTGATCTTTTGTACAAAAGCAAAGTGCAGACTGAGCAGTTTTAGTTTTCCAGTGAGTTAACGCTTTCTACAGGCTTTTTCCCTGAAAAACCAGATTGTCTAAGAATCCCCTTTTCCTTCTTTATTTCTGATCATCACACAGGCTGTGCCAGCCCAGCTGCTCTCACACCAGGTCAGAAATGCTGTCAGCAGCCAGCTGGGCACAGAGGCAGGGACACTGGCAGCCTGTGACCCTGTCCCTCCCAGTCTTGGGTCTCCCATCCAAGGAGCTGGGTTCAAGCTGTGGGAATGGGTGATGGATTAGAGACCATTATATGCACAGGCTTGGCCTCATGTCAGCCTGGGCAAGGGGTGTCCTGCTCTTTATCTGCCCTCTGGATGGTTCTCTTGGGATAGAAGTGATGTACCAGGTGAAAGGATCTGTGGTTCAAGTTTTTCCCTGGAAGGGGGTGATGGCTGGAGAAAGCCATTGGCAGGCATAAGGATTTTCTCCCCATGAGATGTTCCCCAGGCACTGGACAAGGATTGGCAGCTGCCTCTGCTCCATCCTCTCCATGAGCACTCCTGTAGAAGGTCCCCTTGGCTGATGCAGATCCAAAGCAAACCCTTTCAGGTTATTTCAGGCAACAGAACACAGGTTGCAGCCTGTTGTATTTATTTTGTTTTGCTTCTCAAACCAAATTGCCCATCCCTGCCAAGCTATGTTGCTGGTGTGATGGGAACCAGTTCCTGCAGTCCTGCTGAGACTAAATGGAAAACTTCCCAGCGGAAGCAGGAGCAGAGCTGGGCATGTACGTCCTGCTGGATTGTGCTCTGGGAAGGCAGCACCCAGGCAGCTGAAGGAAGAGCTCCCATCCTTGATTTTGGCCCAGGGTGAGCGTCTTGGGGCTTGTTGCTTTAGTAATTTGGCGTCTCTTCAAAAAAAAAGTAATTTATGGTCTCCACCAACTTCAAGAACTGAGTGGGCAAAAAGACTTCATTGCAAGAAATCAAAACACAAGCTAACCAATGTGAGCACAGGGCAGAGCGAGCAGCCTCTCTGCACGTGGGGAATTTGGCAGGAGAAGCCAGCAGGAGCGTATGCCGGCTGTGTGGAACCCTGGCAGCCCAGGAAAGGCTGTGGTGTGGCAGCTGGGGCATTGCTGGGAGATTTTCAACTGGAAACTGCTACAGACTTTCTGCATCAACTTATGGAGCTAATTTAACATTGTGATGCTGCTATTAGTCCTTTGTAATGTGTGTTTTTGCTACCTTGAATAGCATGTCATAAGAATTTTAGTGTTTTCAATGTGCTTTGATGTCCCTGGATGAAGGATGCTCTATAAATGCAAAGTAAGTATTCTAATGTATGTAGTTTGTTTTCTTTTTAACATAACAAAATACTTTGCAGACATTCTTTCCTTGACAGTTTCCATAGCTGGTGGGTCTTTTTCTGCTGTGCCTTAGCAAAACTTTAGGGTTTTGCAGTGGCATATGCTCAGCGTGTTCCTGGGCTTTGCAACATGAGCAGTTCTCTTGTCATCAGCACTGTGGACCTGCCTGTGGAAATCTGCTAAAATCTCTCTTTCTGGAAAACCTGATGATGGGGAAAGGTGGATGGTGACATCAGTTTGGGAAGAACCATAAATTGAGAAAACCTCTGGAGCAGCTCTTGCTCGCTGGTAGTTCTGAATGAGAGCAGGGAGTGAGATGAATGCAGAGCAATTATTCCTGAATAAAACTAGATTTGGATAGTTATTCTGGAATAAAAGGGTATTTCTTCCTGTAGAAGATAACTGCATGTGAGCCACCCCTATCAGCCTGCGAGCCCATGGGTGAGCTCCCCTGCCAGCCAGCCCTGTGTGACCAGCCCGTGTCCCCATTCCTCCCAGTGACCCACAGCAGCTTGTCCTCTGCAGATGCTGTGGGGCTGTGCAGGCAGAGGGGGCTTCTCTGGAGAGAGCTGGCCCAGGTGGTGCTTTCTAGGCCAAAGTCCAAAGCATACAGCAAGGGAAAAAGCTGATCAGAAACCACTGCAAAGGAAGTGTTATTTGGGAAAAGTCCTGTGAAAGCTGCAGGCAGTGCAGCCACTCCAAAATGAATTGCTGATAGCTGAGGGAGCATCTTGGGGCTAATCCCACCGTGGCAAAGGCAGAAAGCTGTGTGTACTGGGAGAACAGCCTGCATCTCTAGCCAAGAGCAGATTTAAGGAATCCAGCCAGCCCTCTGCTTCTGCACAAGCATCCAGAGACATCTGGAGCTGCAGTGAATCCCAGTCCCAGCTGAGCTTTCCCTTACCTTTACCTTCTCCTGGCTCTTCCCAAGCTGTTCAACGTCACCATGGTCATTTTGGAGAGGATCCTCAGCCAGCGAGTCCCCTCCCGGTGCTGGCCCAGCCCTTGAGTGTACATCCCAGGTGTGGCAGTCGGAGGAGAGATGCTGGGGTTCAGGGTGTGCTTCCTCTCCGGGCTGCACTGCGCTCCCAGCGTCGGGCACGCTGTTCCTCAGCCTTTTTAATAGCTGATTTTAATTACACACTCTGAGACGAAAGAGAAAAACTCAGCCTTCCAACAGATTTTATCTGCTGTTTATTTCCACAAATTGCTACAGAAAAAAGCCCGGAGGGGTTTGATGGAGGTGGAGGCTGAGATAGCCGGCAACACGGAGACTGCTGGGGCGCAGCCTTTTTAACCTCCCTGCCGAGGCAGGTGCCGACACATCCCCGCAGCCGGCGCAATGCTCACGCTATGGAGGCTGACAGAGCAAACGGTAACGTGCCCACCTCACCGGGGCTGCCACCCCTCTGACTTGCAGGACAAAAGGAAACAAACCCCAAGCAGCTCCTGGCTGTGTTTCCCTGCTCAAAAATCTACAGGAAGACCCAGCACCTGCTGCCTCAGGGGGTGGCTCTGGCCGGGCACAGGGACACGGGCTCGGCCAGGGAACCCCACTGCAGTGGCCTCTCTTGCTCCGTAGGTGCACCAGTACTACAGCTGCCTGCCTGAGGACAAGGTTCCCTATGTCAACAGCCCCGGAGAAAAATCTCGCATAAAGCAACTTCTTCACCAGCTGCCACCACATGACAATGAGGTCAGTATCCAGAAAATGTCCTTTGACATCAGCAGGGCTGTGGGTGGGGAATGGACACTCCTAGGGTTGCTTGTGAGAAGCGTGGCTTTCCTTTCTCAACTCCTTTTGCTTTTCAGGGGGATAGACTTGAATTTCGGTCAGGTTGCTATTTAGGTTGCTTTATTTGCTCGCTGCTTTGATTGTTGGAGGTAGGGAGTTGTTTGTTTCTACAGCTGAAATTTTTGACAATCGTCTTTCTTCATTTGTCTGAAATGAAAGTATTTCCTCAGCCCTTGAAGGCCAAGGCCCCATTAAAAGTGGCTTGGAATGCTGTTGAGATTATCTAGAGACAGATCCAAAGTTGAAAAAGCCTTTTCCCAGGTGCTGCTTCCGACTCACCTTGGAGTGGGAGTGAGTGTGCTGGGGAGGGGCTTCACCTGGGCTGAGCCTCACGAGCTCAGAGAGCCTACGAGGCCACAGGTTGAGTCAAAACCAGTCAGAGCAAAATAAACCTTTTTACGTCTCTCAAGAATGATGTGAGGCAGCAAAAGGGGTCTGGTCCTTGACGTCCTGATCTCACCAGTGAGAACACTGGCTTCTGGTAACCCACAGAATTTCCCTGTGTAAACAAAAAGAATTGTTTTCATGCTACTTTCTGAAGAAGCCGCTCTGGGAAATACATGCAGGTAACTTGTTTGATCTCAGTCAGATTTTTACAAGTTTGCCTGCATGTGGCTGGGTGCCATGGACACAGCACTGTCAGCATGGAGGGAGCTCCAGGCACAAAGAAGGGACTTCTTCCCATACGCCCTTCGGCCTCAACCTGCCTGCCTGCTTCTCTGTCAGCTGCTGGAAACCCACAGCCTCTGACAGCAAAACAACATAAGAATAAAGATACACAAATGCTGCTACTGTAGCCTGTTTTCCTGCAAGTTGGACATGCAAGTCTGCGTGTATTTTCTGCAAATTGGCAGATTTTGCATCCAGTTTCCCTTCATGCTCAGTTTTGCTCCTTTGAGCATTCAAGGTGTGGTGGTTGCTCATGTGAATAACCCTGCTCAGCTCCATGAGCCTGCTCTCCCAAGTAACGCAGGGTGGATTGTAGCTGGTGCTACATTTGACCTCCCTGGCTCTTCAGTTGTATTCCCCATTGAAATGCAACCAGCCAAGAGCTAAGCCTGCAGGATGGAAATAGCCAGAAAACCTCAGCGTTTTACAAGCTTCAGGGAAATTGCATCATTCATTGTTTGTAACCTTTTATTTTACTTATTTCCTTATTACCGTGCAAGGCAGAGGTTTTGCAAATGAGCAGGCTTGATCCTGTGCTGTAAGAATATTTCACAAGTCACCGGACCTCTGTCATTTGTGCAGAGAAAAGGGTCTGTGCTCTAGAAATGCTGGTGGAATATTATGAAGACCTCAGTCATAGGAGGCTGATGGAGAAAGTAGGAAAACCATCAGTCCAGTTGCTGGTCTGGGTGGGACTCTGAGAAGCCAACTTTCAAGATCTTCCTACAAATTAAGCACCCAAAGAGCAACAGTCCTCTTGCCCTTTTTTCTCATCTCCACCTCTTGAAATTCTGATCAAACCCCAGATAACTGAGGCCCATATAGCTTTGTTTCTCCAGCCTCCCCATAGGACAGAGGTTGGCAGGGCCCATGGATGGCAAGCCAGGGATGTCCCAGGCACTGAGCATCACTTGTGTTTTTTAGGTCCGCTATTGCAACTCATTGGACGAGGAGGAGAAGAGGGAGCTCAAACTCTTCAGCAACCAGAGGAAGAGGGAAAATTTAGGGAGAGGCAATGTTCGACCATTCCCTGTAACCATGACAGGAGCCATCTGTGAGCAGGTGGGTAGTGGCTGATGAACTGGTACTTGTATCACCCAAATTAAGTGAAGCACATCTCCTGTGAAGACGGGCTGAGAAAGTTGGGGCTATTCACCGTGGAGAAGAGAAGGTTCTGGTATGCCTTAAAAACCTTTCCAGTACCTAAAGGGACTACATGAGTGTTGAGCAGGGACTTTTTACAAGGGCATATATTGATAGAGGCTTTAAAATGACAGAGTTTAGACATGTTTAGATTAGATATTAGAAATAAATTCCTCCCTGTGAGGGTGTTGAGGTACTGGCACAGGTTGCCTAGAGAAGTTTTGGCTACTCCATCCCTGGAAGTGTTCAGACCAGATTGGATGACACTTTGAGGAACCTGGTCTAGTGGAAGTTGTCCCTCCCCATGGCAGGAGGATCGAAACTGGATGATCTTCAGGTTCCTTCCAGGTCACACCATTCTATGATTTAATGACATTAATGGAACAAACATCTGCCTATGACCCTGCCAGGTGGGAGTTCTGGGGTCTGTTAAGGCACCTTTCAGGATATTTGACATGGAGTTGTCAATTCAGCTGGTGGCATTATGCAGGGCAGTGATTGTGAGAGCATCCTTTTTGTGATGGTGGCAGTGGGGTCACCTGCACACCTCGGCTAATCCCCGGCTTTCTGACAGTGCGGCGGCCAGATCAATGGAGGGGACATGGCCGTCTTCGCCTCGCGGGCAGGACACGGTGTCTGCTGGCACCCTCCGTGCTTCATCTGCAGTGTCTGCAACGAGCTGCTGGTTGACCTGATCTACTTCTACCAGGATGGGAAGATCTACTGTGGCAGGCACCACGCCGAGTGCCTCAAGCCCCGCTGCGCTGCATGTGATGAGGTAGGAGACAGCATCTGCCACGAGCGCTGCCACTTGCTGGGGTGGCACAGGAGGGTTGGGTGGCACTTCCCCTCCATCCCTGACTTTTTAAGGGAGCCATACACACCAAACTGATGGCTTGGCTTTGCCAAGGGTTTGAGCAAGCTTTTCCTGAAGTTTCTGGTATTCTTAGTTACAGTCTGCCTAGGACTGTTATGAGTTAGGACCTCCTCTATACACAGGAAACTGGGGGTTTCCATTAATGTTTCCAGTAGAAGCACAGCCTTCTAGCTGTGTGATTTTAGCCCAGCTGGGTGTGGTGATCCTCCCTTCTCCTCCATTTCCCCAAAAGAAGCCTCTGGTGGAATGCATGCTGTATTCCTTACAAGTCAGTCATGTCTGAGTACATGCTGAGCTGAAATAGGCTTTGGGAGAGGCGATTAACAGGCTACAAGAAGCTGAACAAATAGAATACAAAACTAAGATAGAAAACCATACAGAGTAGCCTCTGAGCACTTCTCAAGTGTCAATCTCTGTTTAAAAGGCTGGTGAAGGAAATTGCTCTGGCTGTTAAAGTTATGAAAACCATAGTGGGAAAAACCGTATGTACTACAAAATATGATGTCTCTTCCTTGTAAGCATGTAATAGTAAATATCCAAGGCTACATGCACTTCAAATATAAAGAGCATTGATGTACGTATCCCATTAAATTTGTAGTGTTACCACTGAAAGACAACCCCTAACCATTCAACTAGCTCTATTTCTTTGTGGCTTAGGTTGGGTAATTTTTTTTCATGTACTTTTTATCCCTGCAAATTCTCATTTAATTCTTTTGTTCAACTCATTCTTCAGCATGCTTTTCTTCCCCTAAAACATCAAGTACTAATTGTGAGAAACTGGAATTCAGGGGTAAGGGGATCTGCAGGGAAAAAGCTTTTGGTGGTACCCTGTGCCAGCATAGAGAGACAGGGAGATCTGGGGCTGCTGGCTCCCTTGGTTTGGCTTTGGGAGTTGAGATGGGGTGGGGATGAGAAGACACCGCAAGAAAGCATCTGCTGAAGACATTTTAGATGGCTGCTTCTCCAGCTCATCCTTAACAGTGCTCTGTGCCTCAGTTTCCCCAGTGGTATAATGACTGCGATCACCTTTATAGGCACCCAGGCTGGGGTAGCAGCAAGATGAGGAGCCAAGGTAGCTCCATCTTTTTTTCCCCTCTAGAGAGCTGCCACTTTTTCTTGTATTTTTGCTCATCCTTTGTGGTCAGGTTCCTGTTTCTGAGATGGGTTAATGTGTTCCAGTAAGTGGTTGCTCTGTTCTTCAGAAGTCCACCAGATCGATAGGTTGTATATAAGTGTGTTTATTACCCTGATCGACCTCTCTGTTTGATGGGTGGGCTTACCAGCACATTACTGCAGCTCTGCCTTAACACTTTGTAGTCCGGGCACGAATGTGCTTCTGAGGAATTTGCATTTTAATGGATTTTCCCAAGAAATGATGGGTGCCCCTGCCACAAACCAAACCATGGGATTTTCCCATGCAGGACTGGGGGAGTTAGCTGTAAAATGTGGAGGTTGCATGAACAAAGGGGCACAGCTGCCACACACAGGCAGGAGACAGAGGTTGGTGTCTGCATCCAGGGTCCCTTTTCTTACCAGCTCTGCTCCACGCTTGCGTTTCTTCCCCCAGATCATTTTTGCTGACGAGTGCACCGAGGCCGAAGGGCGGCACTGGCACATGAAGCATTTCTGCTGCTTCGAGTGCGAGACAGTTCTGGGGGGGCAGCGCTACATCATGAAGGACGGGAGGCCCTACTGCTGCAGCTGCTTCGAGTCCCTGTATGCCGAGTACTGCGACACCTGCGCCCAGCACATCGGTACGTGCAGCCGGGCACAGCCCCGCTGTGGAGCCAGCTTCTGACAAGAACTTGCATTAAGTCCTTGACAGCGCTCTGGGGCTGGGGGCAGGAGTATGCATGGCCAAATGTGCTTATGCCTCTCCCATCCCACCAAGGAGGTAACACGGTGATTCATTTAGTTGTTAAACCACTGTTTATCCCTTTTTGTAGTCAAAGAGGGGAGGATTGTCAGAGGGCAACCTCAGGAGCAATGGCAGCTAGTGAAAGCTTTCTCTGGCATAATAAAATTTCTCTGGCACATTTTTTTTCCCTTTAAATCTCATTTTCCTGTAAACAGCCTGGCTCTTGGACTCAGATTTTTTCCCATCCAAGCTTGCCAAAGGATCACATGATTTGATGAGCTACTGTTAGGAAAGATGCTTGTTCATTAGGCATCATTATTGTTTCTGAGCCTTTTTCAATCAACTTGCAGATAGATGTTCGCAGACAGAAAGAAATAACGCATCAGGGTCAATTTATGTTTCTAGAACAGTGATTTAAAATGCACTTCAGTCAGGGGCCTAGATGTCCCCAAGCTGGGTGGGCTGGGAAGCACCTTGCTGCTCTCCCCAGCCCCCTTTGCCACTTGGCTGAGCACAGTGAGCATGCAGACAGCCCTTCCTTTGTCCATGGAGGTGAGCTCACATGTTCAAACACTTCAGATGCTGCAGAGGAAAAAAAAAAAACACAATCGTTCTGCTCCTGTGCAGCAGCCAGATGGCACAGGGAGGGGAAATGCAGGGTTTCATGGAGCACTTGGAGGATGCATCTACTGTGACCTGCAGCGCATCATTCGCAAATTCTCAGCTGCAGAAAGGTGAAGAAGCTGCTGATAATGTTTCTTGCATGGTCTCTTCTCTTGAGCTTCCCCCATCTGCTGTCCTTCACTCCAGCTGACCCACTGGAGCCTGCTGACTGTCAGGTTTTCAGGGTAAAATGTCTGGTTTGGTGCATATTTTCATATTTATAGCAAAGGAGGGACTGCAACCATTTTGCTGCAAATCGCTCAGTAGTGAACTGAGCACTGTGCCGATGAGCTACATAAATCAGAGGTAAGCATGTGATGAAGGCTTGGATTGGGTAGGTGAGGATGGAGTAAAAAGGCTGCACTCCTTCCCCTGCAGGATGGTTTTGGGCAGTGGAAAAGGAGCTGATAAAATCCCACCCACCGTCTTGTCTCTCTTTTGCCACAAGTGTAGCACCCCCATCTGTGTAAAAACATTTTGCTCACTATAAGGGGAGGAAAAAACTGATTATACTAAACCTAATTTAGCTTGGAATAAAACAGACCATTAACATGCTGTTCATTTATAAGTTACCTGGCAGCACTTGGCCCCACAGCGGGTGTGCAGGCATGTGCTGTGCACATGTGTGTGCAGGACCCGCCATGCCAGCCAGCCCACACTGCATGGCAGTTTCTCAGGGATTGAGGGCAGCAAGGGCTTTGGCCAGGAGCAGCAGCTTTAACAAGTGTGCAGATGTTATAATTGAAACCTCGGGAGCTTTGCTCATAGCTCTGACTGAGAGCACTGTGCAGACGTTGCTCCCTGAGGTTTGGCTGGAGGGAGACAGACTGTCTGCGTCAGTTCCTTCACTGAACCCAAGGGGGGCCTGGTGAAGCAACCCAGGAAATAAGGCTGTGTGCGAGGCAAGGGTGTGTGCTTGACCCCTGGGGCCAGCTCTTTCCATTCTCTTTGGAGAAGAGGCCCTAGAAGCCAAAATAAATTTAGGATGGGACCACAGTAGCAGCAAGGGACAGAGGTGTCATCTGCTCTGTTACATACTTAACCAAGGCAGCACAAATTCCTCATTATGGTTTAGTTGGAGGCTTTTTTTATTATTTTTTTTTTAATAAGCAGTATATTACTTTTACTTCAAGGACTTTATGGAGAACTTCTTGCATTCCTTTGCTTTATGATCGGAAATATCCCCATTTAATACAAAATAGCTTGAGGCATGGTTCTACAGCCTTTCCTAACACTGAGTAACTCCCAAGGAAAGGCCTGGAATTAGAATTGGGAAGAGTTAAAAATGGGATTTACTTCATGCATCAGAGAAGCCCTGAAAAGTTTTCAAGAGCATGTCACTCATAGGGGATCATAGAGTTGTAAGATAGTTTTGGTTGTAAGGGACCCTGAAGGTCATCTCATTCCAGCTGTCCACCATCGGCAGGGACACTTTCCACTAGACCAGACTGCTCCAAAGCCCATCCAGCCTGACCTTTGATGCAGGTGTTAAGTGCAATGTTAGATGACCCTCACACTGTGCATCTTCTCCCTCAAGGTATTGACCAGGGCCAGATGACGTACGACGGCCAGCACTGGCACGCCACCGAGACCTGCTTCTGCTGCGCCCAGTGCAAGAAGTCGCTGTTGGGACGGCCCTTCCTGCCCAAGCAGGGGCAGATCTTCTGCTCCAGGGCCTGCAGCATTGGTGATGACCCCAATGGCTCCGACTCCTCCGACTCGGCTTTCCAGAGCGCGCGAGCCAAGGAATCCCGCCGCAGCGCCAAGATCGGCAAGAACAAGGGGAAGGGCGAGGAGGGGGCGCGCAGCCCCTGCAACCAGCTGCAGGTCACCTCCAACCGCCTCTCCACTGACGTGGACCCGCTGTCCCTGCAGATGGATCTGCTGAGCCTGGCCAGCCAGACACCGAGCCTCAACAGGGACCACTTGTGGAGGAGCCGGGATGAGCTCTATCACTATGGGGGCAAAATGGAGCAAAGCCAGTCTCAAACCCCCTTGCAGCTTCTCAGCCAGTGCAACATAAGAACCTCCTATAACCCCACCCAGGTCCCGAGCTCGCAGTCGGATTTATGGGCAAAACATTTTAGCAACCCAAAGAGGAGCTCCTCACTGGCCATGAAGAGCCACGGTGGCAGCTTCATCCAGGACTGCAGAGAGGACTACTACTCAGGGAGGCTCCGCTCACAGGAGAGCTACAGTGACATGTCCAACCAGAGCTTCCCAGAGACCAGAGGAAGTGTCAAAGTCCCCAAGTATGAAGAGGAAGAGGAGGGTGGGATGCCAACGTCACAATGCCGCACCCGTCACCCCATCAATGCCCTCAAGTTCTCTGAGGACCTGACGCCCACTGAGCAGACTCCACGGGGCTCCATGGAATCCCTGGCACTCTCCAATGCTACAGGTATGTCACCCCTGCTTCTGCCACCCTGAGACCACCCCGGCACACCCTCCATGTGGTTCAGTCCCTTGTGTTCCCATGTCTTCCCAGTATGAGGGTGACCAACAGCTTGGGGACCACTGCTCAGTGACACAGACTTGTCTGCCTGGTCCCAACAAGCCTGACAGTTCCTCTCCATTTGCTTGCTTGTTTACCAAATGCAGAGCTTTATAGATAGCTGGCCTTTCTGTGCAGCTCAAAACAAATGTTTTCAAGCTACTTTATTCTCCCTTTTGTGAAGAGAGGGTGAAATCCAAGGCTGACTGCTAACGCAGAGGCAGATTCCAGGCTTCAGCACTTGAAGGACTGCTGTCAGCTGTCCTTGCAGGCTAAGAATATTTTTGAATGCTTTGAAATAGGCTCAGTTAATCCCTTTTGAATGTTATGCAGTCCTCAAGCACGTAACTAGTTAAAAGAAATTCCTCCCCCTGTATACACAGCTCTTTAATTCCTCTTCCCCAAGCCCTTGGTAGAAACTGCAGGGAAAAGCAAGGCAAGATGCTTGTCCCATCAGGCTGAGCTCGTTTCCCATGAGCACATCTCAGGGTCATATTTCTCAGTCCTCTCACCCCAAACATGTTTGGGTTTCACTCGTGGCTGCAGGGATGGGTGTGTGTGTGCACGGATGTGTCTGTGTGCGGCTCTGGTCTGCAGCTGGTGCTGGGCAGGCTCTGTCCTTCCTGCAGCCTGCTCTGCTTCGCTCACCCACCACAGCTCCCACATCCCTCAGTGTACAACTACTCAGAAAAGAGAATACTGAGCCTGGTTTGCTTACCAGAGAAACTGCCTTGCTTTTTCTTTGCTCCCCTGGCTTTTCTCTGTTCCAGCCAGTCATTGCTTGGATTTGGGCAGGCCCTGCGTCTGAATCCCTGCAAAATGGAGCCCTTCTGCCTTGTTGCTGGCAGGGAGTGGCCTGTGGGTGATTGTGCCTGGTCCTGAGGATCCCCCACAGGATGCTGGCAATGGGTGGTGAAGATTGCCAAGCCCATAGAGAGCTGAGGCCCCCTGAATCCCAGTTCTGGGCTCTGCCCTGCCTGGATGGACAGGTTTGCTCGCTACGCCCGTGCCTCCTCATCTGCGCCCGGGGTTTGGTGTGTTTGTTTAGGGAAGCTGCCAGCCCCATGCCAAGATGTGAAATGATCTCTGTTTCAGCCAGGATCTCCCTATCCAGCATGTGGAAAAACGGGGGAGAGGAGAAGTAATGAGCTGGGAAGAGTTTTGCTTAAACAATCTCAGATATACACAGAAGAAAAATAGATGTGAAATGGTGAGGGAATTGGGAATTACTCTCCAAAACAGGGTTTCTCTAAGCAAAGCTCCACATTTCCAAAGCCTCTTATGTTCCTGAAAACTTGTGTTGTGTAAACCCCACCAGTACAAAGAGTCTTGAGCAACACCAAGCTTGGATGAGCAATCCCTGAGCAGTGGAGAGGTTGTTGCATTCTTTGGAACTGAAGTGTAACATATTATTGGGGATATAGGTCAAGACACAGAAAATATGGCAAGGCCTTCAAATCAAAATTAAAATCATTCTGCCTTTCATTTTAGAAACTTCTTTTTAAAATGCTGGGAGGGAGACCTCCCAAAGGCATCTGTCCACCATACAGAGCCAGAGTCTGAGTTTCCTCAGGGGCAGTGACTGACTTATTGGCTCTGACTGGCTCGCTGCTTTCCTGCTTTTTGGAGCAGATGCTCAGCGTGATGGGGCTTGCAGTGAGTGTTCATCGTTCCTCTGTGGAGTGAGGTGATAATATTTTTATTAATGCGTAAGGTTCTAATAATTTTCCTTGCTGTGGGAGCTGGCTCAGCTGAGCTGGGGGCACTGCAGCAGCAACAGGCAGCTCCCCCAGGGCCATGTCTGCAATTATGGAGGACACAATTATCATCCCATTTAATTGGCAGTGTTTTGAGGACAGGGAGATTTGTTGACCTGGATGAAGTCTGTGAGAGAGCAGGTTTTTGGGCAGGTGATGTCAGGGCACAGCACCCTGCTGCCTGGCTTTTCCCATCCCTGCCCTCCCTGCTGTGGCTGATGAAGCTCCCCACAGAGCTCCCCCCAACCACAGCCCAGGGGTCTGGCTCACCCCATGTCCTCCACCCTGCATCCTCCAGTTCTGCTTTGCCAGAAGCTCCCAGGCATCCACATACAAAGTCCCTTTGAGCTACCAATGCTGCACAGTTGCTCCACCTTATAAAGTGAAATAATTAACACTGCAGCCATCTAAGGTTTTATGGCATCACTGAAAACAGTCTGTTTTTTATAGGGAGCTGAAGGGCAAACAGTCCCTGACCTGGAGAGCACATGTTAAAAGCTGGTACCTCCCTGGCTGCAGATTTTTCTGTGATGTTTCTATTACGACTTAACTGCTAATTAGCCAGAGACAGTCAGTAATGCAGATAACTCAGGGCTGTGCAGCAGTAATCCCTGTCCTTTGGCCGGAAGGCTGCCTGCTGTGAGCAGATGTTGTTTCTTGTAATATTTCGGGGTCAGCAATTGTGTGGGTCAAGATCTATGTGACCCCAATCTCCTGCAAGACCCCAGGTTTCTACCTTACCAAAAGGCTGTATTTAATCGCTTTAAAGCCAATTCCTCATGGGTTAGTAAAGAGGTGAGGCACCATGTTAATCCTGGGCACGTGTCCTTGCAGTGCTGGGTTGTGCTCTGCTGTCACCATGGGCAGTAGTGCATCAGCAGACATGTGAGTGGCAGAGGTGGCTGTGACCCTGCCTGTGCTCTGTGTTGGGGTTTGAATTAGGTGGGAGTGTCTCTGCTGTCCTCTGGTTTGTGCTTGTGTAATTGCCACAAATGCTGATGTGATTTAAGCACATCCAGTGGCAAAGGGCAGTGTCTCCTGCTGGTGGAGGGCATATCTCCTTCCCTTGCATGTTTCTATTTGAAAATCCCCATTCTGCCATCAGCTGAAGGCTCAACAGACTCCAGTCTGCTACAGCTTCTTAGAGACTGTATCCTCCTGTACTACATGGCCATTAGATGGAGAAGCAAAAAGGGAACAGTATTTCTCAGCCTGTTTTCTAAGAGAGAGCTCGTATTTGCTGATTTTCTTTTATATTATCTTTTATATTGTGCTTCCTTTCTCTGCTTTTGGGGGTTTTGGATTGTTGGTTTTTTTTTAAATGGCAGCAACAAGAACAAAAAACTGGATCCTGTGGCAGTGTTTGCCTTGTAGCTCCCTGCATTAAGCAGTTGAGATGATGCTAAGACAGAATTTGTCCAGGAAGGTTTGCTCATGATGAGAAACCTGATCCTACCAGAGGTTAATCACTTCCCAAAAGATACTTGGCCCATGAGCCCTGCTCCCTGTGTTTGTGTTTCCCTCTAGAAAGGTTTTGCAGTCGCTGCATGTGTCTGGCAGTGGAATTAGAAATCAAGAGCTGATCTCTGCTGATTCCAAGCAGTTATTTCCACAAAACTACAGCTGCTCAAGTAGCCCACTTAAGAAAGTACCTGCAGGCTAAATGTTGTTCTCTGTGAAGAGTCCCTTTGTGTGCTGCTTGCAGAGAGCAGGAGCCTTTTGGAGGTAGAAGTCACGTTCAATGGTGACACTGCTGTCTGCAAAAGGAGAAACAGATTTTAAGGATTCCTTGAGAAAATTAGTTTGGGTGAGGGGAACATCTGTCATAGGCATAAATCCTGTTTAAAAATATGTTAAACTGGTGCTGTTACAGGGTGGAATGTGATTTCACTTGTATGGCACACACCGCTCCTGTCATCTGTATTGTGTGGTGCCCAAAGGCCCCAAATTTTTCCAGAACTAGACAACAACTGTGGTATAACCAGAAAGCAGAGAAAACAGGGCTGATCCCTGCATGTCTGAGCTGCAGAGTGACCTGACAGCATCATCTGTCTCCAGTCCCTTTTCTTCCTCTGCCTGTGGAGGAGCTAAAAGCTGCAGGGCAGGTGAGGGTAAAGAACAAGCCCTGACTAAGGGCCAGGATTGTATTTTCTGGAGGAACATTAATTAACCCAGCCTCTCCTGCACTGGGGGCTTGGGAGCAGCTCCTGAATGCCCTCAGGGATGGCAGTGAGGGGTCTGGATGCTGGTCTCCCTTCCTATGTGCTCCTCCCTCCCTTAGGCTGGAGAGGGTGGCTGCCCCAAGTGCTCCAGCTGAATTATGCATTTCAGAAAGTGACACATTGGCTGTTCTTGAGTTTTTCTATGAAAAAGGAAGCTCACAGCTCTCCACCATGTTCTTATCACTGTCTTTCTCCCAGGCACAGCCAGCACTAAACGGCTTCCAAATTGGAAGATGAGATCCCTGGGGGGGAATTCTTGCAGTTTTGAGGCACAGGTATAGCATTTCCTAATCCAAGGCAGATAATTTCAAAACTGATGTGAAGATAAAGGTTTTCCACCCCAAAGGCCCAAAGCCAAACCACTGTAAAACTGTCAGGAACATTTCTTCTTCCCCTCACTTGCCTTTTGCCACTCAGCAGCGGGAGGTTTGGTGTGCCTGCTGCAGGGACCAACCTCTTGCATGTCTTCACCCCTTCAGTGTCACACAAGGACAGTGCAGAGCAGGTGGGGTCATGCAAACAGAGGGAAAACCGAGATGGACTTCTGGAAGACGTTATTGGGGGAAGCATCATCCCCAACATGGCTTATTTGCCATCAGCTGGGGAGGATGCAGGAGATGGGAGTGCTGATAAAGAAGCTGTAGGGGGGCTTCTAGGTTAAAATCCAACTTGTTTCCAAGCAGCACCCACATAGGGACTTCTTCCACCAAGCTGGAAAGGACTGATTGGGTGGGAAATACGCAGTGGCATCCATGGGTCACACATGGGGACACACCATGGGAGGCTGGTGGGACTGTGACCCACTTGGTGGGGGCTCTGCCTTCTCCCAGATTGTTTATTTTCCATGATTTCCAGTTACATACAGGTTCTGCTTTATTTCTGAATGCCCCGAGGTTGCTCAGAAGTGAGACGGGGCTGAGCTATAAAC